AGGACACCTTGCTTTCTGGGGAAATAATAGTAGGACTTTGTGAATGGGTGCCTTTTATTTTCACCTTTCTTCTTTGATTTTTCTGTTAAGTATGGTCAAAAACATTTGTCAATTTATCCCCATCAACTGGTAAAAAATTGAATGAATGGGGCTATATAAGATCAATGATGTCCCCAGCATCCTGCCCCATGTTGACATGCAGCTGGAGGGCAGGGAATACCCTGGCCGCAGCTGATTGGGTCGCCACTGACAGCTTCCTTCCGGTTTCAAACAAACTCAAGTTCAGACCAAACCCAAGCTCATCCTTACTGGCCACTATGCCCACTATTCCCCAGGCCACTGGTTTGCAACCTCCTCGCTGTAGTAATCTTGCTTACTGTACTGGACTCAAGACTGAACCACCCATTGTATCTAGGTCGTTTGATTGGCAGGACAATGTGCGCGAATACACAAGCCCATTCACTTGCAATGTTTTCGAGTACAATGTACCCACCCAAAATAACCTCCATGTCCATGGCATGTTGGGAATTGTAGCCTCCCGTTGTGGTGCTGTATTAAGAGAGGACATGCCGTATCCATTAAACCTCCCCCGGTGCCTGGCCGGAGCTGTATTTTATGAATTGAAGTGATGGCATTGCTGCTTTTTCATTGGAATTGTTGGCTTAATAGTGAAGTTGTTTTGTTATTATCTATCTTATTAGCAGCTTTTCTATTTACATACGTAGCACCACCAATTGGCAATTTTACCTCACAGCTTTACCCAACCTTCACACTATAACGCTGACTCAAACTTTTGTTCTGTAAGTGTGCTCTGTGCTTTTATAATTAAACATTGACTGATATACACAAGTCACCGGAATGCTATGCTTCCATACTGACCCAGTCTTTTCTCTTCTCAACCTGAATGAGTTTGCAAAGTCAATGAATAAGACTCATTGTTTGTGCCTAAATGTAGCACATATTGGACTAACACATTACATAACCGACTCACACTTTTCGTCCACAGACACTGTATAGGAAATCAATGTTCACTGTGAATGATTCACACCTTGACTTAAAGGTACCACCTAGTCAAAAAACAAAAGTCAGGAGTTGCTATATTGTTCTTTCAAAATCTATCTTCTCCCCTCAAAATGATGAGCAGTGAGACGTCTATCTGTCCAATACCACGAATGCAAGTTTTCTCTCAATTATTCAGTTAAAGTGTATCTAAACCCAAACATTGTAAATATTACACCTTACCAGTCCCTAAATGTGGTGACTGCATTCGTTTTTGTAGTTTTTTTTGTAGTTCACAGAAGAGACCCGGGAAGACTGACACCATTGTTTGAGATTTCAGTTCAATTGGCAGGAAGTGACAAAGCCAACAGGGATTGCTCTTTACTTCAAAGCCACCAATCCTAAGGACTGGTGAGCTGCAATATTTATTATTATTATTGTGTTTAGATATGCTTAATGAGTGTTAGTATTGCATACACGGCAAAATAATAGTGATGCATGCAAAAACCCTTGCCTTTCCTCTACGGAAAAGGGAACGATTGGCATCTGCAGAGCATGGAATGTCTCTTTATAAAGCAGCTTGTTATCGCTCCTTAGGGATGCCCGGGTATGGCCACCTTTACTCATTTATATTTCATTAATGTTTTATAGCAATCAGGCTCACCTTTGTTTTGCACCAGAACACTGTACATTGCTGAATCATGTATTAGAGCAATTAATCACACACACTTGTTGTGTGACATTTGTAGGTAGATTGTGTGTTGTATTAATTAATAATAACTGTATTCTGTATTTGTAGAGTCATTCCATCCTCAGCATCTTTTCCCGTCTTGCTTCATCCACTCACATACAGTAAAGCAATGTCACTAATACTTCCTACAGAAAGCACTGTTAAATTACGCAGGTTTATTAAATAGGACAACATATTAAAGAACAATGATTGTACAAAGTACAGTAACAAACACCAATAGGAATCTATCTTTTATTGATTTTACTGCTGAGCATTGAAATCGGATTGTCTACTATGGTTTACAGCTTGCAGTGCATCTTCTTTTCTTCTTGCTTTGCTTTTTCTTTATATATAATGTCATTTGTAAGGAGCACACGGAGCTCCTGGGATTTGTACATCTCTGTTTTAATGTATGATTTTGTTTTTATAACTATAAATAAAGGGATGCACAGATACCAGTTTTGCGAGTACGAGTACTGGTACTTGCCGAGTACTTACAAGTACGAGTACTGATACATTTTTGTTTATTGTCATGTGACAGTTTTTCTAAAACAATACAGACTAATGATTTCAGGACAATGGTGGAGTGCCAGAGCCAGGTTCCAGCTGCAACCGCTGCAACCCTGGTAGTTCTCATGAAAATGCCAAGTATCTGCACTGGTACTCAAAAAGTATCTGTGCATCCCTACTTTTTAGAAAATATTTTTATATAATTTCAATCAGGTAAGTATTAAATAATATAAATCAATATTTACCATTTGTAGCCAACAGGTGGCATGCTCCGAGCAGTAAAGTAGCTTTCTGCAGGCTCATAAACTAATATTGTTCGCGAAAACAGGTTATATAGGCTGTTGAATGATTCACACAGCTTCCTTTCCTAGCCAAGGCTGTGCGAGGCCTGGCAGATGTCCCTGACTGTTATTCTAATAAGGATATCTGCCCATCTATGGACAGCCCAGCCAGCTAAAGAGTGTCTAGTGTGGAAGTAGTGCTAGGCTTTCTTATGCAGAAGCTCAGCATAGTTAACAAACTGGGGTTCATTTTTTAATATGAAAATATAATTAAATTTCAGTTCATTTACATGTAAACATTAAAGGAAGGTGAACCAAGAACCAACAAGCGTTCCCTTTACATCATGGGTCACATGACATAATGATTGCAGGAAGAAATACTAGGGCAGACCTGGGCATTTTATGGCCACATCTGACAATTTGGCTTTCCCTGTCCAGCCCGTGGTCTAGACATGGACTGACTGCTGACTCGGTCGCTGCACTCAGTTATGGCTGGCTTCAAGCAGGGCTGGATTAAGAGCATCATGGGCCTGGTGCAGTCAGTCGGACGGGAAGCAGCATAATCGGCTCTCTAATTGGACGTCCGCTCGCTCCTCACTGGGGACCTGCAAGGCCCCAGCAAGTGACTGCCTAATATGCCTGATTTGAGAGCCACGGGTGGCTCTGCCTGATTGTGTCCAGCCCATCTGGCCCGGATTGCCATTGGGCATACCAAAATGATCCGGGAAGACCGGGCCTATTTTCAGTGGTGGGCCTGGAACTGGCGCTCCATTAGCCCCTATGCTAATCTGGCTCTGGCTCCAAGGCTGGTGCATCTACTGCAAGCCATAGCCCAGCACAGGCCCCCTCCTCTTCAGTCGTTGATTGCTAGGTACTGCTTAAAGCATTGCATGATATGTTGAAAATTTAGAAACAAGGGGAAGAAATAAAAAGCACTCTGGATGACCTCCCACCAAAATGTGGTATTTGTGCGTAATTAGGATATCTGTTGGAACTGTGTTCTATGAGATATATGAAAAGATCATGTGATTCAACATGCCCGCAATCATACAAAACTAGTTGGCCTTCTGATGCCCTTCATGATGAAGTCACCAAACACCTCATGGGAGGTGCAGTCATGCTGCCCATACCCATGGGCCTGTGTACTGAACCAGTGTACCGTTCAGTTAATCATTTATGCACTCGATCTAAAAGCTAATACACACATCATCTAAAGCTACTTTATGTTGGGCTATTGTGTTATACTAAAGAATCACGTCTATCTATTTTGTTTAGCTCAACAGTGTATCTGTGTGTTTAACTATTTAATAAATGTATTTTTTTTACAATAATTAATGCTAAAATGTAATGTATGTATCTTTGCATTGAATGCGCAAAAACTAGAATAATTTTGTAATTTTTTTTAATTAAAAATTAATTTCATAATAAAATAAACACATCAATAGCAGGAGATGTGCAATAGAATGTATCTGTTTTTTTAACCTAAGCATCAACTAATTAAATCGATAATTAATTCCGACATCGGTGTTTGTTGCTTTTAACAGCCAATTAGGTTACAAAAGTATCAATGTTACACCCTATATTTTATTCACTAAGACCTATATGGCTACTATAGCTGCTTTATAATGTTGGGTTCTTTGGGTGCTGCCATACTGTTTGCATGGAGTATTTAATCCCTATGTATGTGTGGGCCGTGTCAGAGTGTTCCCACTCCTCCTGCAATCCAAGAAACATCAGTTGATTAATTAATTTCTATCTGAATTGCCATGTAAAGGTGTGAGCGCATAAAGTTCACTGCGGTAGAGACAAGTGCAAATATTGGGATTATAGCTTATAACACTCTACAGAATATGTTGGTGCTATTTAGGTATGGGCAGTAGGAATAGTAATTTGAATATGTCTTTGTGATGTAGACTTCTGTGTATGCAATTTTTTATAGCTATTTATATGAATATACGTACAAGCTGTGTTGTTGCTATACAAGACAAAAGTCTTTGTACGTGTATATAAATCTCTCTATTGTTAAGCATTAGTTTCTCTCCACCTAAAGGCTAAGGGCTTTAGATTTCTTTGGGTGGGCTGTCGTCTTAATTGTCAGGAGGCAGGAGGAGGGGTCCAGCGCTTAAAGAGTTACTCCTGGCCGGTGTTTGATTGCACATCTGTCAGATTTTAGGCTAGTGACGTGTGGTAGCAGGAAACTGGAGTGTTTGGGACTAAAATCGATGAGACTTAGCTGTGGGCTGGAAGCAGAAGCAAGCAGGGGCACTGATCTCTGTGAGGGAGACAATATCACAATAGGACCTAGGCTAGAAGAGAAAGCTCTCTCTCTGCCTGTCTGCACAGCTAGGATCTTCAAACTCTCTCTGCTCTACGAGAGAGCCAAGAAAAGCCTGCATCCCTGGGAATTATCCCTTAACAAACTGAAGAGCTCATTTACCCATAAAAAGAGGAACCTGATGAAGATCTGTAGACCACAACAGGCTGATGTGTGTCTGATTTAAACTGCATTTCAATAGGTAAGGATCTGGATCAACCGTAAGTGCTATATGTTCTTCCGTGTGCTTCTGTGCATTGCTGTAGTGTGGGTGTGTAGGGGTTAATAACTGGTGCATTCATAGTATTTGTAGTGATTGCATGTCACCGCTTTGAATTTTTTTTTTTCTGCTTCTATAAAATATTTTCTGGTTGGTTATCGGAATTTTGATACCAATAAACGTGTAACACGATCAGAATGTAGATGTGTGTGTGTATGAAAAAAGAGAAATAAGTCAGGATGGCCGACTTAGGTCTAAAGCTGTGATTCTCTCCAGTCAATTTAGAGTAAAGATTAATGGGACACAACTAGATAAAGAGGAGGATGTTGTAGCCTGAAGACATGAACGTCCAGTTGGGTTTGGAGAACGGTGAAGACATCTCGAGCTCAGGCCAAGAGCTAATGCACAATCAAGGTAGGACTTTGCATCCACCTGTACCGAGATCCTCGTTGGTGTCCAGTATGACCTCTGTGTTGGATGGAAGCGACTACCACCGCTCAGACCATCACCTGGCTACATCGTTGCACCCAGGGTTGGGATTTGGGGGGGATTCTCCTCCAGCATCCGCAAACAGTTATACAACCTTGACCCCATTGCAGCCCCTTCACGAAAAGTTCCATCACCACCAGCATCATCAATGTGTTCCAGTCGGAAATGTCATTGGAAGTTTTACTCTAATGAGAGAGGACAGAGGACTTGGGCCTCCTAGTAACTTTTATAGTCATTATCCTAAAGATATAAGCATGGGGCAAGGTCTTTCGTCTTTGCCAAGCCCTAACCTGACCTCCATGCACGGTTATGGTCATCATTCAGGACACTTGTCCAACGAGAAGATGGTATCTGGCAATGGTTTTGATGCCCACCACAGCATGTTTAGCAGAATAGACCAGCACTTTTCAAGAGAATTATCCCCTCCTCCTTCCTCTGGAGTAGGGTCACCCAACAACATGCACCAACATCACTATGTTCACCACAGGGCAGACATTAATTGTAGACAAAACCCCCCCATGCCAACGCAAAATACTACCCTCAACAGCCAGCTGGAAGAGATTAATACCAAAGATGTTGCCCAAAGAATTATTGCCGAACTGAAGAGATACAGCATCCCACAAGCTATTTTTGCAGAGAGGGTCCTGTGTAGGTCACAAGGGACTCTCTCTGACCTTCTAAGAAACCCTAAGCCCTGGAGCAAGCTAAAATCGGGAAGAGAGACCTTCAAGAGGATGTGGCGGTGGCTTCAGGAGCCTGAATTCCAGAGAATGGCAGCTTTAAGGTTAGAAGGTAAGATAGTTTATTATGAGCATGCTGGTGACTGGAACCTTGGGCAATGCACGGAGAAGCCTCACTTACAGAATGTCTTTATAAGTTTATACTAAAGCTTACTCTAATAGTGGTAGTTCATTTTTATTTCACAGGTGACCCTTTTTTTTGTTAGCTTCTATAGTCAACACCAACAACTGCATTATAAAAAAAGTATCATACACCTTCAGAAAATCCTGCAAATATTTTTTAGTTTCTTTGTGAGCCCAGAGGGCTGTCAGTATATACATTTTGTATCTTCGCAACCTTTGGCACACACAGCAATTAAAAGAGTTGTGTCGTGAAAAGTGTTTTTCTTCAAAACTGAAAAAGAACACATTTTTAAACACCCAAAGCTGCCCCCAGGTGGGCCCTTGTGAGTGCAATGACATTAGTGTGACACAGCAGATGGTCTACAAGTGGCTCCTAAGGCCTGAGCACTTTTTACAATGCAAATTAAATGCATTTTAATGTGTCTAATTGTATAATTGTATATCTATACACTGGTATCTAGCAACAATGACTTGTGCAAAATTCCTTGCATTGTCCCTGGTCTGTCAGAAACTGCAGTATGATTTTCTACTACTTAGCTGTATTTCAATGGACTTCAAATTCTTCTCGGTAACACAACCTATTTATTATAGACACTGATATGATCCTTCATTATGCCTTTATTCATGACACCCACAACTCCCCATGTATGTATCATTGACACTATTTTCTCTTAACCTGTCACATACTGTATAGAACATACCTTGTGTAGAAGATACAACGCACAATTGGATGGTTTACTAACCTTTTAAAGAAAATATGTTTATTTTTATCTCGGTTTTGTCCATCAACATTTTGAACCTATGCATTGTAGACCCCAAGGGGAAGCAATGAGTGCTTGCTGGTTTGTGTGTTAAAAAACGCAGGCTAATTTTCAGACCCAAAAAAATCAAATTAATTGATATTCAATATTTGCTTAATGTACCGTCAAAGTTGATGACGACTGGCAAGGAGCATTTGGCCTAGCCAGTCAGCCATCTTGTGCTCTAGGACCGCAATGGTTGTAATATCCTACCTCCATGTCATTGAACATCTAAAAGCGCAATTTGAGTTATCGCCTTAATCAGCCCGTAAAAAAAGGTTTTTAAAAATAATTGACATTTTCAGTAAGCTCATTTGTGATTTTCTGTTTGGTATCAAAATACAGAAATTATCTTATTTTGTTTATGATTTATATTACTGTTTTATCACAATGGCCTGTGGCTCTGCAGTTTGTTGATAACCCTAATGTACATGTGAGTATGCTGCAAAAAAATTATTATGATGAAGGCAAAAGTCTTTTGACCGAACAAAAGCGCTTCAAAAGCCTGCACGTGCAAAATGGCGGCAAGAAGGACAATGCACTGGCAAATATTACTCTGTCAACCTCCAATTCTTTCTTTTTAATTCCTTTATGGAGGCAATCAACATAGACAGTAGTTTATTTCTATACCTGGACTTTCAGCAATGTTTAATTTTTTTATTTTTTTATTGTGATACTATATTTATTTGTTATACCATAACAAGTTTAAGAGAATAGTTGCGTAGCTTTTGCACTATAACAGTTTTGACACAGTTCTATTTAGGTAAGTACTACATTTAGGACTTTATATTTTTTGTGGGATTTCAAGACTAAGCTATATTTTAGGTTCTACCAGAAGATGAACGCATTAGTTACGATGAGTTCGTACTGACACAGCTCACTTACATTCAAATTTTTGTTGTACACTATTTAAAAAGTTACAAAATATTATTATTATTATTATACAGGATTTATATAGCGCCAACAGTTTGCGCAGCGCTTTACAATATAAAGAAGACAATACAATCACAATACTATTCAAGACAAGATGGTAAGGAGGGCCCTGCCCCTGAGGGCTTACAATCTAAAATTAAAATATAATTATCTGATGGATAAAACATCTTTATAAGAGGATTTTTTGCAAAATTAGGTTGGTGTTGGTATGCCTATGTGTCTAGTGGGCGTGAGTCCATTTGCAAACACCTTAAGAGTTGAAAAATTTGGTTTAATTTATAATATTATATTGTCTTTCCAGATATTAGTTATGATGAGCTCGTACTGACACAGCCCCCTTACATTCAAATTTTTTGCTGTACAGTATTTAAAAAGTTACAAAATATTATCATCCGATGGATAAAACATCCATAAGAGGATATTTTTGTAAATTTAGGCTTGTATTGGTATATGCCTAGTGGGCGTGCACGCATTTGCAGGCCAATGAATACTTGACTAAAATGGGGGCTACATGATCACAGGATTGTGGTCAGAACATTGCAGATTTTTTCTTTACTTTAAATGTCTCCAATGGATTTAAGAAATTTCTAAATTATTTTAGGTATACTTTTTGTATACCTTTTGCCTACAGTGTGACAAGGCATCAAAAATTCTTAGTGCCAATTCTTATCTGGAAACTTGGCAGCGATTTGAGCAGTAAACCAAAGAAATAATGATATGCAAGAGTTACATTATTGACAGAAAACTGAAAGTCAAATAGCCCATCCATTTTACTTCTAAAACGCTTATGGGGTGATTTACTTAAGGCTTGCAATGCCACAAAGTCCATGCGTTTTCTTTTGTTAAACTTCCAATCACAAAGGAAAATGTATCGAATTTTTTTATTTTTTATTTAATTTTCTCCTTCAGGTTTGTAATTGATGTGAATAGAGATTCACTAGTGTGAACATCCTCTCATTAGTAACTCATCTCATGAGCCACACAGAGACCTGCATTTTAAAACTGGGAACAATTTAGTAAGTTCACTACAAGGTAAAAGAATATTAAAAAAACGCACACACATAAATGTACATTTGTACTATTATTACCCTATAAAGTGCCAGCATATTATATAGCATGTATATTAAAAATTAGAGGGTCCAACTTTAGACTTATCAAGATCTAGAACAATTGGGCCCAGAAAAGATCTATATTTCATTCTTTGTTTACATTATTATACTCTTAAGTTAGTGTTAGTATAGCTAATTATAGAAAGTTGTTTCAAAATTTTATTATGAAAAATTATATTTTTGAATAAATATAATTTTATAATGGAATAAATCAATTTACCTTTATTTTTTTAAAATACAATGTTTTTGATATCAGATCTATACCTGTTGGATATAGGATCATGCAGTGATATAAGAGAAGATAAAATAAAGGTCACAAAAACACTGATCCCCACATCTCCATCCCCACATCCCCATAAAAAAAAAAAACGTTAATTATTTTACACTTTCTTCTACACTTTTTATTATAAAGTAAAAAATAAAATGAATATGATGTAACAAAAATAATTTCCCTGCAGTTTTTGTTAAATTGGGAGAAGAAGGATTTGGGTGGACCAGGTGGTTCCTTGCTGCCATTTATGTCTGCGAAGCTTGCACACGAACAAAAGCCCACAGTGGTTTTTAACCTTTTTATTGTCAGTGCATTAAAGTGTGAATTGCTGCAGCCCCCTTTGCAAAGAGGAGTGACTGTGACACACCGGTCGATGAAGCAGCTCAGAAAATGAACACAGCAATGGTAGATATAAAATATTGCCCCAACAAAAAGGGTAATCAACCTGCTGAAAAATTATTTAAAAATAATGTGTCAGCCATTTTTTATTGTAAGAATTTACTCACTCAGCCACTTTACATTCACAGTTTCCAGCTAATGAATATTTATGAGGACGAAGGCAAAGGAGTCAGCGCCAAATCTCCAGCTGAACTTTATTCACTACAGAAATGTAAAACGTGTGAACGTTAGTAGATGCTGTGACCGATCATATAATCCTCCTGTAAGCAACACCTAAATAAGTACATTTTAAAAAAAAAACATTTTAAAGTATTTTTTATTTGTTCATTCAAATCTAAAAACAAAAAATAGCATTAAAAAAATCAAATTTAATAAACAAAAAATACCTTTAAAAAAAAAAAAGCTGTTAAACATAAATTCTCCTAAATAATCTTGAAATAAAAACTGAAGATCCGTATGTAAAATAATGTTCACATGCCATTGATAGGTATTCCAAGAAAGAATGAAAGATTTGTAACCCAGCCACAGACTGTATAAAAAAAAAAAAGGAAATTAGAAGGACAGTTATCTTAGGTGCGGTTAGGTCTTTGTACCGTGCAGCGAATGATTGATTGATGGTTTTTTAATCATACCCCTGTGTGGCATTTTAAACCATGCTTGTTTGTACACATTACATGTGGAAGCGTGGGGTTTTAATTACGCTAAGCTTTCTACAAAGGTATATATTAATAGACATTGGTGGGGGTGTGTAGATGCAAATAAGACAGTAGCTACTCTTTGGGACGGTTTACTAAAGGATTGGCCATACAGCAAACCTGCATTTGTGGCAAACAACCAATCAGGTTAATTTCTTTTTTTGTTTTAATAAATTCCGATTGGCTTTCCAAACCGAACACGGACCTGGCAAGGCTTTAGCCAATCACCCTTTATTTTATACTTCTCTGTAATCTATTAATAATGATGGTAGATGCCTCTTATCCGTTCCCTAAACTCAAAACCAGCCATAGATTTTCACTTTGAACCGGCAACGAGAGGGTTACAGGGAAAATCATCGATCTCTACAGCAGACTCAGTCAGCGCCACTCACACACACACAATCCACTCATAAACTACCCAGAAGCCTTTGCGTTTACGTTCCCAGGGGGAGCTTGCTGCGAGCTTCCCATTGATTTTTGATTTTGCAGAAATTAGCCCCCTTTTCCCCCCAATCTTTTGATTTTCATTTTTGGTTTTCCAACCGATATATTTTCATGATTCTTAAAATGTATCTTTACGATGCTGCGTAGAAGACAAAGAAAAAATAAAGAGTTGATCGTACAAGCGCAAGGCAAGATTGCGTATATTTAGAATAGGATTCACTTTAAAATTAATTATTTTAAAGAAAAAAAGGCATCAGCATGTACTAGTTTAAAGCTTG